AAAATCAGAGATTCAGCAGCACCGAGTCCTGTCAGTCTTAAGTCTATTGTCACCTGTTTAGCAGGAGGAGGTTTGCCCGGTGCTGCAGCGGTCGTGTCAGTGCGGGGATCCGGGGGTTTCTCTGTGAATGTCAGATGTCACGGGAAAGTAATGGTAATCTAATTACTTTTTTGCAATCTTAATCCCTTACTTTACTCATTACTTGAAAAAAGTAATTGGATTACATTAACCCATCTGTGGTCATGACTGAAACATTACTGTCATCGGTATATGAGCTACCTGGTTACCTCTATGAAAGGACTGTGACCTCTGACCTCTGTGCTGAGTCTGGGGGATTTCCTTCCTCTTGTCTTTGTTTCTCTTGCTGCTCGTTTTTGGTTTCCTGTCGTTATATAAGTTGGTGATGTTGCCACAGCAGAGCATCTCCTTCCAAAACTCATCACTGCTTGCAGTGTTTTCATCAACAGATTTGAGCACCTCGATGTCACGTCATGAGCTCATCAGTGCCTTGGCCGGACGAGATAACAAGTACTCGGTTAAATTTAAGCATTTTAATGTTTTCTCACTCTGGGACATCAAACCCTGTGTGTCATAACTGCACACAAAGCTCTGAGCTAAGACTTCAGTGTTTACAGCTACACAGTAAACAGAAATACAGAAACTTTAAATGACATTTGGCTATTTAGTGTCAAAAGGCTTTCTGCAGGTTCTTATTTATCTTCTGCTCGAATGGAGAATTTCAGCTACTTTCATAAGCAGCAAAGAGGACACGGAGTCAAAGGAAGTATTATAAGAGCGCTAAAACATTCATTTGTAAGTGCTGCAGTTTATATTTTGTGTTTTAAGTGGCTGACAGCCACCACAGTTGTGTCACCCTTTAATGTTCCTATCACACAGCGTCACCTCCTCTGTTGCCTCCCTGTTGATCCTTCCCACGTCGTCTCCTGCAGTGAATCAGAATTGAGAGCAACCACAGATTACACACAGTATGTTATAGTAGGGGATTACTGAAGCCTCTCTCCGTGGCTCTGATGTAATGCATATGTGGGTCACGGCTCAGAGACCCAGTTACTGCCGAGTTTTAGTGTTTTGTTGCAAACACTTTTGAACTGAAGCCTCTGATGGATTACATTTCAAGGTCCCAAATGTTTAAATTTTAAGTTAGGTGCGAGTTTGGAAAGACTAAAACAGCAATGAGAACACAGAAGACTGTCCTGCACTGTTATACTGCACTGTTGCATGTACTGTATG